TATTCTTTTGGTAGATCAAAAAAGGGAACTTTCGACGGCGCGCCGATTTACTCCTCTTTGCGACTCCTTCTCGCGTTAATTAATTAGCAGTGACAAATTTTCTCGCTTTATGGCGATAGCGAAATATAATTCTAACTTCGTATAGCGAGACTAGTTATCTCTTTTTTTCTTTTTAATTGTTAATTAATTATTTCGGAATGCATCTTCGACTCGCATAATTTATCACCGATAATTTTCTCTCTTTTACTCTCACTCTCTCTCTCTCTCTCCCTCTCTCTTTCTCTCTCTCACTCATTCTCAGACATACTGTGTCATTCATTCTTCTTCTCTAACTTTTCTCTTCGCTCTCACATTCGTATTATTCACGTTCTCCCCTTCTTTTTCTATCCCTTTTCTAGATCTTCAACGGAGGGAACGCTTTTTTTTTATAATCGACAATCGCTTTGTTTTATAATAATCGATTTAGTACAGACCACAGCGGAAAAAGGATCATAGAGGAGAAAAGTTTCTTTTCCTCTTCCTCCGGGAATGCAGGTGACTTAATTTTATAGAAGGAACATCGGCGACTACTTCCGCTCGCTCGTCCTGTGCCCTTTTTGCAAGACGGTTTTTTTTCATGCCCCAAACAATGAAAACATCGAAAGTTATACTTTCGCGACACCTCGTTTTTTTTCTTTCCTTTCTTGACTCGCATAATTAAAAATAGATACGGCATAACGTAATGGAAGTCCAACGAATTTTCGAGGATTCTTCGCTTTGGCATGACGACTTCGGACCTCGTACGTAATCAAAGAGAATTTTAAAGATCCATTTTAAAGAACCAAATCATCAATCCATTTTTTATTTTCTAAATCCTTCAATGAATAAATAATTTTGATAATATGTATATAAATTCTTTTTAGATGTAAATGTTGTCTAAGATCTCAACTTAAATATTTTAGTTTAAGTCACTTTAATAAGCGAGTTAAGTAAGATGAGAAGAATTAAAAGTAATTTTAATCCATACTTAACCTGCTCTAACAAGTAATTATTACCATGCAAGTATAATTTTTATAATAAGACAAATCGAAAGATTTGTCTATCTGAGAGGTCGTCATAAAAGCTCGATCCTTGGCAATTTATATTTTCAGGCAACGAAAGTCTGCCGATGGAAACCGAACGGAACAACATATCTGATATTTTATAATATTTTTTTCCTATCTGACGACGGCCTATTTTTCATATTTTTAATTCAGCCGACTATGTATAACCGCCTCGGCTTGATCGATTTTCTACGGAGACTTGGAATTTTGATACGATTATTATGAATAATCCGACGCAACGACAACGATGACGTCGTAATTCGCCACCTAATGGCTATCTTCGTGTACTCTAACGGCTACTGACTGCCTAGCGGAGTAGATTCTCGTTATCTAAATACTTCATCATAGCGTGTTTTTTTTGTTCGATAGTAGCAGCAGTAGCAGTAATAGTAATAGCGCAATAGTAGTTAATAATAATAGTAAATAGTAATGATAAGAGAGTAACAGTAGTAGTAGTAGTAGTAGTAGTAGTAGTATAGTAGTAGTAGCGATTGCAGTAATGATAGTATAGTAATAGTATTTTAGTAGTAGTAATATAAATTTTTATCGTTCATAGAACAATTTTTTATACACTTTTGTCTCTTGTTTTTTTACACACAGACACGCATGCATGAACACACACACAGACACGCACGCATAACACACACACACACACACATTCTCTCTCTCTCATTCTCTCTTTCACAATTTTAGCTAGGCTGTGATGGTTTTTTATATTTTGCTTTTTTAATTACTTCTGTACTTCTTTTCCCGGGCTAAATCAGCGAGGCGAGAGGTCTGAGTATTAAAAGCGTGTAACTTAAATCTCCGTGTAATTATTGTATCAATATATTTTGTTATATCTCTTATATTTTAATATTCCTCTGGTTCTTTCTCCTTTCTCTGTCTTTTACACATGCATACACACATATTCCCCCTTCCCTCTCTCCTTTCCCTTTCTCTCACTCATTTCTTGGACATTTCTTAAAATTTTGCCATCAGTATTGTATCTATTAAAAATAAGATTAACCATTTATTAAAATCATTTCTAAGTGATATTAACTACTAAATCGAATCATTTTCTCTATTTTCGTTTTTTTTTTTTTTTGGAATTGCTTGTTTCGTCGTTTTGCTACGAATGCATCTCTAAATCAGCCGATACACAATGAAATACATATAAGAACAAGGAGTGTAAATTGGTCATCAGCAAACAAAGAATGATATATTGAACAACGAATCGAGAATAAATATATATTACGAATAATACAGGTCTTATATGTTTTTTTTTCAATCAGTTAAATAAGTGCAAAAATTACTTTCGTCCCAAAAAAGGTGGAAAACTCTTTATACACACATTTGACCCTTTTTATATCCAATTAAATTTTTTTATGGTATTTCTATATTACTTATGTTAAGACAATTATGAGATTACACTCCATTGATTTTGTTGCTTGATAATATATATTTTTTCATTTGTTACTGCTTTCTCCCCCCCCCTTCTCTCGTAATTATTTTTTTATTCTCTTCTTTTCTTTAAATATATATTGGCAAACTAATTTTTTATTTCTTGCTCTCATATTTCTTTGAACTTTTCATTGTGTATCAGCCTTAAATCACATATGCCTTCTTAAAGAGAATTAGTTAACCTTTTCAGTATCACAACTAAGTAAAATCATCACTTTATATGTTTCAATTAGCTTTTATACAACTTTCAACAAAGCTTTTACACACACACACACACACCCACACATTGTGTGTGCATGTATGTATAAATGTGTATATAACGTTTTGACATATTGTGTGTGCATGTATGTATGAATGTGTATATAACGTATTCCAATTAATGTAAACTAACGCAATGTATATGTATAGTGAATGGATACTGAAAAAGTTCACCTGGGCTCTGCTTCGCTTTTCTTTCATCAGTCAAATAACGACCAAATATTCGGCAACTTCGGGAAAATGGAACGAGGATCTTATGTTTTTGCGTGTATCTAACATATATCTCTTTGGGAGAGTCCCGTTAGCACACATCTACACACATTAATTGGTGCCTAGGATAGCCACTAGCACAATCAATCAGAGTCCTAGTGTTCAACTGGTCAATTATATGGGCTATCGAACCCCGTCCTATTTTTCCTTCCTATATCCCTCGCGAGCGAAAATATGTCGCACTAAGTTGACTTCGGGTCACGGTCTTACATGTAAGATTGTGACTCCGGTTTTTATCAAATTTAGATCGAATCAGCACATGTTGAAGATTTATCGGATTTGGATCAATTTGATTCCGCAGGATGTACTCATGGAATTATTCTTTGGTGCGAGATATAAATCGACAGCTCTAAAATGGCAGTCTTTTAACGATTGTGCGACATGCTTCCGCCATACTGAAACAAGTGAAACTTTGAGACGAGAACAGATTTTAGAAAATATCTCCGGGAAAAGATCAGGTGCTATAAGATCGATTAACGTGCCAATTCGTTCAAAAACAGTAGTTTACCTCGTGTCTTCCTCTTCCTCTTCTCGAGGATACAAATTCTGTTGCCATCTAACTTATTAAAACTCAAAAAAACAGTAAGCTAATTTAAATTTGACTTCTTTGATCATCGAAATGTAATACTGTACTTTGGACAACTTAGAAAAACGACTTTTATAGAATGTTTATTTCTTTGTTGAAAATTTGTGCTTACAAGAGAGAAAGAGGAAAACTATAAAATGTTATTATAACGCATTTTCTCGACATTTTAAACGAGTTTTACACTCCCCGTTATCAAAGAGATTCTCTGTCTCTGGCAGCTCCGAGACGAATCAAAATTTAGTTCCGTAAGGAATCTCGTATAATAATCCTTTGATCTTTGAGCTTTGATAAAGACGAAGAAGTGATATATATGAGCTATTTTTAATACACGTGTACTTTCACGCTAATAATCATCATTAATAGTCATCAATTCTGTCCTCGGTGCAAGCAATCGTTTACGAAATTTTCGAAAAATCATTATCGCGTACATCAATGACAGAAATTGAATCGTACGCGTTGAAAGATTTCAAATTATGATTTGGATATAAACGCGCGCCATCGGCAGACATTTTCGGTTTTGATTTTTTTTTTTGGACACTTCTTATTACAATCACTCTGGCCCTGTCACTCTCATATTCAGTATCGCAATATTTATCGTAATTCTTCGAAATTTGCCACCCAAACGGACATACACCCTCGCCACTTATAATGCTGATGCCTAGATTTCTATTTTTCCATTGTTTCAGATATAAGCATGGGAATAGATTTACTTTTATACATATATTTATAATACGAAGCTTTTTTTTAATCGTAACGATAAAATTGTGCTAATTTGACATTAATAAGTAATTTTCTTCAAAAATGATAATTAATTTGTGACGCTTTGATTTTTCATATGGCCTCTAATTTTTTCCTTTGAATATATTATTCGAATCGATCTAGATAATTTTTATTGTAGCAATTTTAAGCGGCAGGAGTGTGTAAACCGACATTGGCAGAATAACTTACGATCACATGTAGATATCATCGAAATCGTTTGTGTCATTATTTCCACAAAATGTTATAATCATCATTTAGTTTATTTATAGTTAGTTAATTTCTTTATCGATATACATATATTAATCTCTTATTCTTAAGAAATGGTGACCATCGATTTCGATTTTATCGTTTCACTTCGGCACTTGTGTAAATCTATTTATGTGTACGTTGATACGCAAATGTGTATAACAAATTGGAAATATTAACTTTGTTAATAATTGTCTCACATTAATAATGCATGATGTAATATGGTAACCCAATACAAAAATCAGCTTACTTGTTTTTATAAAAAAAACTAAAAATAAATAAAATATTTTTCCAACGCACACTGCACTCTCTCCCCCTCTTTTTCTCTCTTTCTCCTCCTCCTCCCTTCTCTCTTGCTCACTCGCTCGCTCGTTCTTTCTTTCTCTCTCTCTCTCTCTCTCTTTCTCTCTCGCTCACTCATTCGCTCTTTCTCTCTCTCTTTCTCTCTACGAATGTCATTCTTCGATTTTATGTCCTTGATACTTCTTTCGCGTGCTTCTTTGCCGTTTCCGTCGTTTTCGCCTTTTCTGCAAGCAGCGTCTTCGTCCAAGTGTCCTCGTCCGCACTCGCGATTAATCATAAAATGTATTTTGTTAATTTACCCGCGCCCTACGTGTACGGTACTCGATATTAATTGTATCGATAATAATTAATATAGTATTATCTGGTACGATCCCCGTTTTGCTTTGCCGCCTCTATCGGCTTCCCCTTTCCCGTTTTCACTCGTCGAATATCGGAAGCCGAAGGAGCCCGCAGGGACGGGTTGGGACACTCGACAGCGCTTATACGAAGACGCCGCGATGTTTTTTCGATATCATTTGTTATATTTTTATTTTTTATTTAATTTTTGTTTTGAACACTGGAGTCGGTGGTGTGGGGGATCCGGGCCGCACGCGTGCTCGCACGGCGAGCGAGGAATTATCCCGTCCCCTTCGTTCGCACGTAGATCCTTACGTGGGGCGCAAGTCTTCTGAGGTGATGGCAGGAGAGATGATGACGTTTCTCAAGAACGAGGTTAGATTCGTCCCCATCTCTTGCTCCTCTTGCACACACTTTGGGCTTCTGTTCCACCTCTCGTCCCCGTTTCTCGTCACGGATGGAGGAAGCACCCGATCGACTTCCCGAGAAGTTGCGTGACTTCCCGTGACTCCCGCGATCTTGACCTGAGGCGCCCTTGACGGATCTGATTGGACAGGCTGGCGAGATGTGACGCTGGCGCCAACCGTTACGACTATGACGAGATGTGAAGGAGGCCTACGTCAGGTACCGCAGGGAGTTGCAATTGCTCTTTGACAACTGGCCTAGCAACGGCCATAATGCTGCCACCATCTCCTTCACTGGAATTGACAGCGTAAAGAAGAGATAAGACATGTTATATCGATATTTTGCGAGTATAATGTATGCGGGCATGAATTAAATCTGCAATACCTAGTAGTCAAACGTCAGTCTCGATGCTCATGCAGGCTGGATTGATATTATTATTGTGGCGAGGGTTGCAATTTGACTTCTTAGTTATCTCTGGATGAGTAAACAAGGTGCCCTCCTCCAGTTCCATTATATCCGATGAGGATTCCGACATCGAGATCTTCTTCAGACCTAAAGGACACACAAAATGTATATTTTCCTATCAAAATCCTTATTTCGCATTTTCTATTTATATTTATTCTAATTTATTATCAATAATCCTTATGTATTCCATGAAGACATTATGGCATACCTAAAGTGCCAGGAAGATATGGGCAGCTGGTCACGTGATTAAAGTTTTGCGACTGCATCTCCTCCTGGTCAGTCTCACGATGATAGAAGTAGTTGAAGTTGGAGACGATAACGGGGACGGGTAGGGCGATCGTCAGGACACCGGCAATCGCACATAATGAACCAACGATCTTTCCCCAGACTCCCACGGGCCTAGAACAGAATCAAGAAAAATACCGATATTAGATGTCATGTCCTAAGTACGCATAACTTGGAGAGATCACGGAACGCAATTTTCAACTTTTGGTGCTAGGTGTGGTGTTTCTATCTTGTATGAATTTGCCGTGTTTTTTGAGTGTGGCGCTACTTATGCGGTATTGGAGGCTCCTATAAATACATGATGATTGTCTCCACGTGCGTTGGCGGAATATTAAACGAGGTGGACGTATACTATAACACATGGATTATGTCGATTGCACATTCAACTGACTAACCAGAATACATTTTGTCGATAAACCTAGGACCGAACAAGGTCGGCCGCGCATCTCAATATATTTCGGGAATTTTCCAAACTGACACTCTCAATTCTCTATTCCAACCAACGCTACGCGACTGATTCTATATGTTCTCAATCGTATATAAATATAGCGACGCGTGACGCGTGTCTATAAGCGAATACTCTAGACTACGGGACTAACGTAAGGACTCGCTAAAATGGCTTCTTTGGTGAATTGCGTGCTAAAGCACGTTGCGCTACTGGTCCACTGAGAATGATGCGGCAACCTGTGCTATTTCATTTCTTCAAAATTTACACATTGAGCCTAATCGGCTAATTTTTCAATTCAGTCGCACTCGGTTGCGCCTCGTTACAGTAAGGCCAGAACAATTCGATATATCGATGATGCACAACGGAGGCAAGCACTTGACCGAATCGGCGTACTTCGAGTTTTCGAGAAGGACAAGATAATTGAGTGCGGTCCTTCTTTTTTACAGGCATTCGCGAAATATACTGAATAATTACTCCTTGTAATATTGAAGAGACATGAGAAATTATAGCGTTATTATTAGTGACCTGGATAAAAATAGCTTGATATTCTTCAAAAATATCGAATGGCATAATATTGCAGAAAATTATATTAATAATAACATTATATTATCGCTCTAATAATTTACTTTAAACCGTTGTATGTAACGCTCTACGAAGAATTGTTACGATTGAACAATTGTAAAAAATTATTACGTTATTAATTATATATACTTTGAACAAAAATTTATAAAGCATTTTTTCATGCGTATTTGTCTTTATGTTTTCACATTCCGTTTAACATTCTGGTGAATTAATTTGGCCAAGCTTTTTTCCGCATCTGAACCGGCATTTACGAGGCGCCAATTAGATTACGTGCATGTCGTAAGTTCAGAAAGAAATTTTTGCCCATCGTACAAATATGTAAGTACAAACGAAAAGCTCATATGTCTTCGTCTTGTCTATATTTTTTCTCGCCTTGTCTATAGTTTTGTTTTCATTTTAACACTATTAAAATATGAGAGAATTAATAATCAATTTAACAAACAAAATAGTGATTATTTTTTTATTTAAAAACATTAAAGTATACTTATTTTACACAAAACTACTAAAAGATCAATGTGCTTTAATTTCTTATCGAGATTTTAGAAAGCTTAGATTAAAAAAGCAAATTTGTGATTATTGTCAATTAACCACAAAGCAATTGGAAGTCAACTTTTCGTTGGTATTTAAATATTGATGTAACAAATTCGTAAATGAATGAATAACTCGCCTACATATGTGCAAGACTTGCTCTATTAAAGTGAGCAATCATTAAAGTAAAAAAGGCATTAGTTATAAGAAACAAATCGTTCCCGTTAAGTTACTATATTATAGGCCTTTGTGATCCATGACCATGGTGATCGTAATGATGCTAACGTAATTATAAGAAGAAATGGGATCGAGCAAAAAAAGTAATGTTTACTATAATAATTGTGACTATATATTGTAATGAAAATAGTCTGCGTGGGCAATCGCATGCTGGGCAATCGTCAGGCAAGAATGCATGCATCGATCCTTCTCATCAAGATATTTTGTAAGATTAAAACTCTCGGGAGACCCTTTTTTTAGAGAGCACACGCAAGGATCTGTAAAACTAAATTATGGAATAGAGGAAGAATAAAGTATCGATGAGATAATGCGGATAAATTCGAATAAAACCAAAAGTTTCAATAAGTAAAGAGCTTAAAGATTCATCAATGAATTGGTCAATTCGACAGGTCAAAGTTTAGGATGATTAGAAATGGGAATCTTTTTTTGGAAAATTCCTTTTATTTATCGACCTAATGTACGAAGTTAGAAAGATATTGTCCATCATCTCTCTATGTGTTAAAGTAATGTAATTTCTCTCATGTTGTTAGAATGTACTTTTAACCGAAGATAAAAACAAAAGTGAATTTCAGACTCTGGTCAGAGAATCTCATGGTCGGTCCGCTTCCACTCAAGACTTTCCATTAAATGTGGTAGTCACCATTCCGTAAACGTTCACGCAAATGCCATTCAATAAATAAAGAGATAAACGGCTATAGTTCAAAAAAATTTGTAAAGTAAGTTAAGAAATATGATATTTTTCAAAATCATATATTGGCATTTTTGTCATCAATTTAAAACAGTTGTGTTACAATTATTTAAATATACATATATAACCTTTATCATTCATTCAATAATGACCTCTCAAAAATTGCACTTTTAAAAAACATTTTATGATAAAATTTCTGATTTCTAATAATGCAAAACCATTTGAAAATTACTCCCGGATGCTCAAGAAATAGGATAAAAGTTATATGAAACGTGCGAATTTTTACAAGTGGATTGATCAATTCAAAAGTGGCTGAAAAAGAAAAATGGAAAATTAGGCTGGAAAGTTTTGCCACATCTTATTAATTTCTTTTATTTGACCTCCTCAAATAGTCATTACGTGGAATTAAGTTTTACAGTAACGAAGAAGTAAAAACAAAAATCGAAAAAATTGACTCAAGTAGAAAAACAAAGAATTTTGTGCTGCTAGTATAACACAATTAATAGAATGTTAGAACAAGTGTATAATTGTAACAGGGGATTATGTAAAAAAAATAGATAAATTGTTAGATCCATTCAATAAACCGTATTAAAACAACAGCCGTTTGACTTTATTTATTAAATGATCCTTGTATCATGCGTGAGCCACGTGTTATCGATGTTGTTCAGCGATTACATTCGATTGCTTCTACGCAAAGTCAATCATACCACCCCGATTGCGTCATCGAATTACTTCTAATAAAATAAACAAAGCCACAACGGATCTCGGGCGATCTCTTGCATGCCTTGACATTTTTTTATATCAATGATGATATTAAACATACTGAAAATTGCAAGGACGAACAAAAATTTTCCAAGTATGTATTTCTACAATTTTTAAAAAATTTCTCTTATTATTCCGATTTTTACTAGACAATTACTCGGCAGTGTGCAAAGAGCAAGTGTCAATCTTACAAACAATATTGACCATTTATAGCGCGAGTTCAACAAACCACGTCGCGCAAAGGTCATCGGAAGTGGAATAGCCGGATACCTCGCGGCCACGCGCACACATTTCGTGTGCATCGATCGATACGTGAGGTGTAGCGTAGCGTGGCGGTTTCAAATCTCTCCGTGATTTTTCCTTTCGCTTCAGGGCGGTTCCGTGTCTGAGGACATTTATTGATTTACGGTAGACAATTGGCCCGAGAAGTCTCCCAGACCGCAACACGTCGGACATTTTTTTTCAATGATGGAAAATTAAGAGTATCGCGAAGCGATTCTTTTTTATTCCATCTATGGCAAAAGATGAAGAAACCGTGTATGCGTTGTGCTTTATACTTTAATGAAAATGTTTTACACTAAATATTTTAAACTTACAATTATTATAACAAATATCATACCGTGTTTTTTGTATCTTTTGTTTTTAACACATCGTAAATACTTTCGAATTGAAATTCCAACTTAACTCAAAAATTCTATAATTTAACTAAAAACTCTAACCTAATCCACATTTGATTAAACTAAATTTAGATTTATTTTTTAAAATTTGATGAAAATGATGACCTCTTGTCAAAAATTTTGAAATCTCAATATTTTTTTCAAAAAAGAATCTAAAAATTTTAAAACACTGAGATTTCAAAAATAATTGAGCCTATAATGAATCGTAGTTTGCGACATTCTTTGTTTTTAGTAAAAAATCTATAAAACACATCTATCAAATTAAAGACTCCCTTCGTTGCGCGCAAATGTTAAAATGAGAAGGATACCGTAGACATTTTTTCCGATTCTTAAAAGCCATGTTTAAGTAGTTACAAGATGTAATACGCAGTAGAAACAATAGACGCCGCCAAAGTTTTTACGAGCGCGAAAATTACTGCTGAGAATCCAACTCGCGCTAATTTTATACATTCGTGCAAAATGCTCCGTAAGCTACTTTGTAATAATTTCAAGAAATTCAAAAACACTTACAATAATTCCGATGTAATGTATATAGTTTCAATTTCGTCGCTTTATAATTCATTTTTTATTAATTTAACTTAAAAATTATTTATTTAAAAAATTTTGTTATTTTTCTTCCAAAAATTATCACTAAAAATAAACCAATTTCCACAAACTTGACAAATACTTGATGAATTTATGAATCTGTAGAACAAATAATAACAAAATATCTTAGCATGTAAAAGGTGTAAAATAGGCGAAAATATTTAGAGGGATGATGTATGAAGTAAAACATGAATTGTAGTTTGCATTTATTCGAATATTGAAAATATAATTGTAAGTCAATGGAGAATATAATTACAATTTTTATGCGCGATATTTAGGACTTTCTAATTGTAATTGAGTGAAATTTAGCATAATAATATACAGAGTTTAATATAAAAGTCTTCGTCAGACTTCAGAATATTAAATAATTGTGAAATTCAAATAGGAATGTATAAAACCTGAAATATTTAAAGAATCTCATGCAAAAGAGAGACAAATTATATATGAAATCAAGGATGCATGAAATGTGTCAACTTTGATTAATGAATATGCGAATATGATTAAAAAATGAATAGGAAGACGATTGGAAAACTGTATCAATTTTATTAATTCAACGGTAAAAGAATAATTGACATTTATATGTAAAAACTTTAATTATTTTAATTCCAAAATCTTACACAAATAACTTAATTGTTCAATTAAATTTTGGCTAAAATCCAAACTAAAATTTTAAATTATTTTTGAATAAATGATTATAAAACAGTAATCGAATTAATTATAACTTTTTATACGAAATTATAAAATCCCGTATGAGCGTATAAAGCAAGAAAGAATTATGTAACTCCTATTCATCAAAATCACTTTATCGCGTGATTTCGTTATCATCAATGTAAGATAAACAGAACAATTTGTGACAAATGCGTGAAATAATTAAAATGTGCAACGCGTGTCAATTGGAAGGAAGAAAAAACATAAAGTAAACTCCTACTTATTAAAACCACTTTATCGCGTTAAATGATTTCGTAATCCACCAATTTAAGGTAAACAGAACAATACGTGACAAATACGTGAAATAATTAAAATGTGCAACGCGTGTCAACTAGAAGGAAGATAAGGAAGGAAAAATGTAATTGCACCAACGATCTCTATTAGTTTTAATCTTTAAATACAATAAATATTAAATATTAAAGACTATTACACACACACAATACTAATAAAACAAAATATACAAATTATTTGAGAATATGCACGTTTTTTCTAAACTCATAAGTTTTTTTAAAATTTATCACTTAAATCATCATTAAATTATCATTAGAATGTTAACTTCAATGTCAATTTTTAATCAAGGAAATATTTAAGCATTAAATGATTCTTGGTGCAATTTCAAAAAGATGTCAAAAATAAATCAAGGCCAAGGAGTTGCGTGAGTTTTTCTTAGATTCCTCTCTTTCTCTCCCTTTCTCTCTCTCTTTCTCTCCCTTTCGCTCTCTCTCTTTCTCTCTCTTTTTTTTCTTTCACTCTCGCTCGCTCTCTATCGACGACCTGACGCGGCCATCACTGTTTTGCGGGCATTAACTAGAGTCTTAAATGAAAGTGAGTACATCATACGTCATGTCACCATAGCCCACGGTCGTCATCGTGACAACGGCCCACCAGAACGCGTCCGGAATGGACTTGAAGAACGAATTCTCGGAGCCGGCCTCCGCGAAGTATACCGCCGACGAGAATAGCACCACACCTGCAATGCAAGGAAGAAAACACCGGTTCAGTGGGTTTAACGCCCCCGGTGACTCTGTACCTCATATCGCCGTAGCCCACGGTCGTCATCGTGACCACCGCCCACCAGAACGCGTCCGGTATCGATTTGAAGAAGCTGTCCTGCGTGCCGGCCTCCGCGAAGTAGACCGCTGACGAGAACAGCACCACACCTGCAACGCACACAAGAGGAAGGCACGAGTCAAGACGGTGTCATCATCCGCGCTCGCGTATGTCGACACATTCCACGGACGCGGAACCCGACCACTAGGATCGTCCAATCTGTGCGACCTTCTGATTAGGTGGTTCCAACCTGGAATCGCCCACTTGGTCATCCAGATGATCGATTGATCACGCCTGGACAGTTCAGATGTCATAATAAACCAGTTGAATATGTTACGGCCTAGTTACTGGAACTCAGCCTGATCTGGATAATCGCAATTGCATCTGAAACGTCCTAAAACTAGAATCAGCTGATTCCGATGATTCCTTCCTGATAGGACACCTGCGACTTGTTCATTCAGTGGCGGAAAAAAAATTTCTTGTGCTTTTGCGATACTCATTGTCTAATTGCTGGCATATTTGGTATGTTCGATGACGGGAATTCTTCGTCCGCAAGACTGAGAGCTTAGCTGTGGGCTGTAGGAAATCTTATCCTTGAAAGAGGGTTAATTGGGTTAAGTGTAGACAGATTTGTACAGTAGATGTTTAAATGAGATAACAAACTCATTTAGAAAAGTGATTCTTCAACTGTTATCATTTTTTACTATATTAATTAAATTTTATTAAACTTAAAAGTATAATTTGATTTCGATAAATATTATTATTCTACTATACAACATTTCTCGATATTTATACGATTCATATCATAACGAATTCTCGTTCTTAATATAATATATAAAAGAATTGGAAAATAATGATATGTATAATATGTCATTATGTGTGTATTAATATAACAGAAAATAAATAATTGTATATTAATTTATTATACAACAATCTAATAAATATTTTAACACAACATCAGTTAAAAGTTAAAATTGATCACGCATAATTACGCGATATTATCGAATCAGATATTATCAAAATAATACATTTATCTTGTAAAATGTAAAAACAAAGTGTATTGTCGTGTAATTGCATTGTGTTCTATTTTTAAATTTTTTAAACTAGACTCCAAAAATTTTATTTCTGCGCAGCAACTTTCAACACATATTTCTATGACCTATAAAAAAATATAATAACTTAAAAATATTATTCAAAACTCTGCCTTCTATCTGCATCCTTTCTTGTATATTCCCTTTTCAAAGCTCTTATGACACAAATAGTTCGGCAAAGATTTCAGCTTTCGAAAGTTACCATCCGCATTGAATAGCAATAGACAAAAACAGCACCATAAATCTTGTTTGTCCGTTTCTTTTAACGACGAGTATTCACGCAAAAAAGCGATTACTAAGGAACAAAGTTCCCAAAATGATATTTTAAATGTCTCTGAGTCAGCGAAGAAGAAAACATCCGGGAAATTGTTGAATTATAAGCAATTTCTCCGCGAAAACATCTATGCTGATAATTTGATCTTTGCCATCAACGAATCACAAAGTTAAGTGAATAAACTTCTTCATCAATCAATTCTTCTTGCGTGTAATATGCATCACAAATTTGCTTATAATTTCATAAAACAAATTTTTGTAAGTAAATATCTGCGCGTACAAACAGATCTGCGTCAAAAATTGAAGAATCTACAAGAAATTGCAAAATTTCATATTTTCATTCATTCTAGGACTGGTGCATACACACATACATATATATATATATATATATATATATATATATATATATATATATAATACACGAGAAAAAACTAGATATACTGAGAAAGGGAAAGATGCAAAGTTGTCATAAATTTTCAGACAATAAAAACAGCTGTTCGCGATTTCATCATCCATGGTAATTCCAAGGTCCTCCGTGGAACAGTTTCAAACTTCCAAGTATTTGCATACAATATGTGTTACATAATGCAAACTAGAATAGCGAAAGCTCGATCACCTCGACCTCGCGCGATTTCTGTTAAATGCTTCTGTTCTTATTCTTCTTGATGCGTCATTCATCTATCTATATATTTTCTTTCTCCCTCTCTCTATATATTTTGATTTTATTTAATTTATAATCCTCTCACACATTTATAACTCTCTCACATATTAACATATAAATTTAAGAAAGTGTATTGACATATTTTTAATTGTATAATAGCTGATATCGATAATGAAAATTCATTATGCATACTTAGTGGTACAGCTGTAAATGTCAATGCACTTTGGATAAATACATCCAAATTGTATAGTAAAATTACTATGCAACTTGGGAACTCAAAAATCTAGATTCATATAACTTATTATAATAATAAATTATTATTGTCGCCATATTACTGACTCTTTATCGAACTTACCGATGAAGAGGAAAAAGATGAGCAACCCGAGTTCCCTCATGGAGGCCTTGAGGGTCCGCCCGAGGATTTGGAGGCCTTTACTATGCCTAGATAACTTGAATATCCGGAACACTCTGACCAGCCTGATTACCCTGAGTATCGCCAGGGACATCGCTTGGTTCGTACTCTTGTCCTGTGGGCTTACCGGCGCCTTGGGTAGATTCAGTGTGTCCTCCTCCTCGGCCACCACCGTGGCGAGGGTGATGAAGTACGGAATGATCGCGATGATATCGATGATGTTCATTACGTCACGGAAGAAGTTGAATTTGTTTGGGCAGGCGAGGAAGCGCACTATTAACTCGAATGTGAACCAGATGATACAAATAGTCTCTATTAGGAAGAACGGGTCCGTGATATCCGGCACTTCGTCCTCCTCGATCTTCGTGCCGTTCGTCGTCGTGTTGAAGACCTTGTAGTGCTTGAACTCGGGCAGCGTCTCCAGGCAGAAGATCACGATCGACAGGAGGATCACGAACACGGAGATTATGGCGACCACTCGGGCGCCTTGCGAGCTCTCCGGATACTCAAACAACAGCCAGACCTTCCTCTGCATCTCGTGCGACGGCAGCGGCTTTTCCTCCTCCTTGATGAAGCCTTCGTCTTCCCTATTTGATTAGTCATTACTTCATTAATCTCTCTACAATAGAACTATTTTCTTTAAATCTTCTACACTCGTATTCGTGGTATAGAATGTTTGTAAAGTTTGAGGATCCTTTTTTGAGAGAACTGTAATTTTACGGGAGCAAAGTTTGAGTACAAGATTGTAACTAAGATCCGAAGAAGCAAGAACATGTGGAATTGCACAGCTGTGTCATCGTATAAGGAACAGATCCACTCTTAATTGCTCAAAAAATCTATAAGGGTAATTGTAAAGATTCTCAAGTGTAGTACACGTAATGCGTAATTAGAACAAAAAACTATGAATGCTGGATTTGAAAAACTTGTAGACTCATGAAACCGAGAAATCTGTTTATCCTAATTTTAAGTAACTGTTCTCGCACACCCTAATTTTAATTTAAAGATTCGCTCTCGCGTACCTGAACTTATTAGTCGCCATCTCGCCCAGCTCATAGAACTTGATCTCCTCGGAGAAGACATCGAGCGGGACGTTGACCGGGCGGCGTAGGCGACCGCCGCTCTGATAATAGTAGAGTATAGCATCGAAGGAAGGTCGATTCCGATCGAAGAAGTATTCGTTGCGCAGCGGATCGAAGTATCGGAGCCGCCGTGTTGGATCGCCAAGCAGCGTGTCCGGAAATTGGTTCAGCGTACGCAGCTGTGTCTCAAACCGTAGCCCGCTCACCTGTCGATCGCAGCAATCGATTATTGGTACAGTGGCGCCGCGCTGGACGGGGCGTGTCGCTCAAGCGGTTAATTGGGGCGGGCGTGGGATGTAGGAGCTGCTCGTTACAAAAGGACCAACGTATTATCGGAGATTATCATGTTGATCGAGAGTAGATCACTCATCTAACGTTGTTAACTTATGTTAAGTAGCGAGGTAATTCTTTCTAATTGTAAGATTTCCAACATTTTCAAGAAAAATCTACAATTCAACGTCAAAATTAATTTCGTCAAAGCTGATGTGTCTGTTAAGTTGAAAATTAATGAAAACATTTATTAAAGATTTGTGTAACAATGATCTTATAATATTTATATTACTCTTAATATTTATATAAAATTTATATAAGATATCTGTGAAAGTAAATATTTGAATAGGAAGACTTTTTTAAATTAAAGGCTAATTTTTAAGATAAACGATATAACTAATTCTTTTCACGAAACATTGCGATTTTTATTTTTCTTCCATGAAATGTGTAAAAATATCCCAGTACTTTTCGCTTCAACAATAACAACTCAATTAACATCACTCATTCTCGCCAAAAACTGAATATCACTTAAGGAAAAAAAACAAACTCTATCTCTATATTCACGGTAAAATGGTCCAAAAAGAAACCAATGAAAATAGAGAAGAGAAGAAAGAAGAAGTAGTACAAATGTGATTTCAACGATAAAATATTTTTATTTTATTTAAAGAATCTCATGGAAGAAAGTCTAGACTTGACATATAAAAGAAGATAAGAAAATAAAATAAATTTATTGTAAAAAGACCGATATACTTCGAAAGATTAAAGCTATTTTTCATAAAGTAATTTTTTAGATAATTTTTAATTATTTCTTAATATTCTGTTTTTAACTGAGAATGAAAGAAAAATCATATGTATTAGTACTCAAATGTGTGTGCATGTTCTAATTACACATCGATCCCATGATACCTAACATGTTCTACCCACGCATCACGCAGCGTGCTTTGACCTCTGTTGAGTTTTCGATTCCATTGCGAGGCAGAAAAAAGAGTGAAAAAAAGGAATGAAACGCATTGATCGAACCGATTGCTGTAATTGGCGCAATGCAGTCGTGTCATCCGCGAGGACAGATAATTCCGTTCATACAATACGACCTTGATGCTATATCGCCCCCGATTCCAAGACGAACTTGGACGGCCGCCAAAACGCAGTCTGTAGGTCACTTCATGTCTTATAAGATAATATCACCTCGTTGAAAAGAAGAACGCGCGCGAATATTGAACCGAACTGGAGTTTACCTATGCGTTTAAAACATTATGCATGATTTTAACGATTTTCGCGATAAAAGGAAGACGGCAAAAATGCTAACGAGAGAAAAGCAATATTGGAAAAAGCAATATTTAAATAAAATTATATTTGAGATATTAGTAATTTTATCGCCTTCGCCTTGAAAAGCATCGAATCTATGAATTTATAGCGCCAAAAGTTTTGCGAGATTAAGGATCTGTGGCGCCAAGATTCCTGTGAGGACGAAACTTTTTTGGCGTTTAGAATCGAAAATTTTTCGTTCCAAGAATTGATGGTGCCAAGGATTATAAAGAGCCAAAAACTTCTAATATCTTTCCCTCGAATATTCTTTAATCTAAATAATGACATAAAATGACGACGATATATCCTTACAACGCTGTGCATGTTTTCTGGCAGAAAGATTAATGGTAAGACAAGGTTCATAAAGTCATCGATCCATAAAGTGGCAGAAGATTCGGGATTAAAGTGTTTAAACTCGCTAAAACAAACTTACGTTGATGACGACCCTCTCGCAGAAATCATGATCGTGAGGTATGGGCTCGAAGTGTGTGACGCCTGTGTATTGAGTGTGGGGATTCGTCCCATCCTCGTCCTGGCTGCTGAGTTTCGGCAGCGATCTGCAATAATCAAAGTCGTAACATCGTTAAGAAACTTTTCAACAGCAGACCCAAAAAGTTATATCGCACCGCTATTTCAATAACTTTGACATTCTATATAATATAGATTACAGAAAATAGGGAAATTATTAGATTGCTAAATTACTAGATTGAAATTGAGATTAAGATATGTTCATATATGTTAGTCTACAAAAATTTGTATACAACATAACCATTCTAGGATATGGCACTAATGTGATACAGTAAAATTACCATTTATAATTCTCTATAGATTTTTAATATACAATTATTGTATTGTAAATGCTCAGTATTTTTCCGGCACTACATTAAGCAAGTAGACTTTCAGTTTACCAGAAAATGGTTCACAGACTGTCTTATTAATAGACTATTAGTTGAACGCATGGCTTATATATATATGTATATATGTATCCGCTAGGCTGCTAGACTTGACGTTCTAATGGCCAAATGGAAATAGACACACACGATGCATATCTATAATCTACAATATTCTACGTATGTTAATGTCTACTTGTTATTAACAACCTCTACTTGAACTGATATGTACACAGTACCGTCGAAAGTGTGTCGAGCAATTGATGGATACGCGTCGATCTCGATGATAGTCAAATAGATCGAAAACACAAGATTCGAGTGAATGTTAGGACGACAATCATCGGAATTACGTCGGCGAACTATCAGGCGTTAATTAAGTGAGATCAAAACACTGAGATTCAAGACACTTCATGACTGTGAAGATAATGTGTTTTGGAAATAAATTAAATTAGTCTATAATCTTTTAAATCTCAAAAATAAGAATTTTTCCTCAATTAAGCTCCACAAATAACCAGAATTAGTACCATGTAATCACATGTAATCAGAGAACTAATCACATGCAGACGCTTAAGTGGCATTTTTTAAGGATGAAAATGAGGGGACAACAAGCTTTCTTTGAGGGTTTAAAGATCACTTCGCTTGAACAGAGAGTGCTTTGAAAAAAAAGATTTTTGTTTTGCAAAAATTTATTCATCCAAATAAACATTTTACAATAACTTCAGGCCCTAAAATCATTGCTGATATACTAATTTTTAATTCTTGCTAATATATCAAAGGTCTATTGTAAAAAATGGTTGATAGCCACAAGTATATTTATGATATTTCAATAATATCTTTAAAGTAAAAACATTGAACACATAATTGCCTTTTCGATAAATAAAAAGATAATATCAAATAAATATAAAACTGTCAGCTACCAAAAATAAACCGTCATCGTTACAATAAGACACCGAAAGAGATGAAGAATTTGGTGAGACACTGCTCATCGCGCAAGATCACGCGATCATTCTCCGTTTTTTTTACCTTTTTAAATGTATGCAATATAAAGAAAATTCTTAACAAATTATTCCTCTTTGAAATTTTATCTCCTCGCAGAATACTTCAATACATTTCTTGGTGTTTCTAGAATTGATTCGAATGATTCACTTATAGAGGATACAAAAGTTGTTCACAGTTAGAGTTAGTTTACGAAAACGTTCTATTTAGATGCATCCAGTCGATATATATGTCTGGTGGGAGTTACGTCGATTGGTGATTTATTTTAGGATATCAATGGGAAGTCGATGTGACGAGAACAAACATCAATTTCGAAGTCCGTGTATCCCCGGAGCGCGAACGATGGAAATAGCGCGACGTAGTAGCGGAAATAGCCACTACGCGACCACTTACACGAAAACCGCCAATGACACGTGTCGCCGCCATGAAGAATTTTACGTACGTAACACGAATAGACTAATTAAAATTCTCTCTTACGTGCTTAAAAATATTTTTCAGTAATAAGTACATCTATATTAAAAACTTCGTAATCAAGAGCTAACTTTCAATAATAATCTTAACTCTACCAAACATTCATTAGGTTAGGTTAGGTTAGGTTTGGTTGCATAGCATAATCATTTATAACACGATCATAACTATTTGCTGAAAGAGTAGAGAAACAATAGATAATGATGATGCTCTCATGTATGAAATGCGATGTTATTGCAGCGCTAGAGATGCAAAGATTATTGATGATAATCCTACATTACTGTGCGTTTTATGCGCATAAGAGACATTCTGCGTAATTATTCACAATTTTAAGAAAATGAAAACGGAATTTTGATTATGATTCGAGAAAAGTAATACACCAATAAATCTCGATTAACTTAAGATGCAACATTATTTTATCATTTTTACAGCCGAGTATATATAATAAGACTGTATGCGAACAAATTATTTAACCTACGATAAATATCAAATTGTTATAGAGACATTAGCGTGTAAGTACTTGGGAACAAAGAGGAAAGTGTAAAAAGAAAATCTCCATTTTTGAGACGCTTCTTTCATTTTCAGATATTAAATAAGAAAGATAAATGTATCAATAACAAATAAAAAAATTTAATTTAATTTATCCTATATATTATATATTTTCCACGCTCCTGGAATATTATCGAAAATAATTTCCAAATTTTTTGCTACATTATCGCGTAATTTTTTTCAATTTAAATTTTTCTTTCTTTTTCAGACAAATTTGCCCGAAAATAGATAACATTTTAAAACACCGATATCTATCAATGCCGAGTGATGTAAAGTCTGATACCTATTAAAGACGATTGCTTCCGTCAGAAAAGAAGCGTGAAAAGTATCGGTCTCTAATTGGTAACATGAATCCGGTCTAGTGATTACGACTGAGAATCAATTCCATTTATATGATACTCTCTGAATACTTCCGGAAAAATAAAAAGACTGTAGGCCTAAGATGGCTTAAAATAAAAATAGCAAAAAGAAGTAACGGGAAACAAATTGACCATTGAAAAAAAATTACGAGTATTGAGTTTCCAATGATCTGTGATGATCGTGCACGCACTAGTTAATTATATATAAAATCAAATGTGGCTGATAAAAATATGATATAGCTCTATAACTTCGCAATTGTTTCGGTATCTACAATTTCTAACAACGTTGCTGAAGAAATATATTGAAAAAAGCGTACTTCTTAACTCGTGACTACATATTAATTTTTAGCGTAAAACGATGATTTGTATGTATTATCTAGATTAACAAGATACTATATTCACCAAAATTTGCCTTTCAAAATTTATAACAACACTATTTAATCCATATGAAAAGTGTATGACTATTACCCTTGTGTGTATCGTAATTTCTCTTCCGTCAAAAGACGGCGAAATCGAGGGCCCTAAATATTCGCTGAGCTCTTACACCCATTCTCCTGTATCTGCAACACTTCGCCTACATGAAGCATCGCTCTTCCAATTTTTATGCGACCATTCGTGTCTCGGCATAATCAGGCTGACCCATATTAAAAGAAGAGATCGACGGCGAAAAAGACGAACAGCTGACTGCGTACGAATCTTCAAGGAGAAAGTTGCGTAACCTGATCCTTAGAAAAGGGTAGACTTGTCATTCAAAGTTCTAACATATCACTTTTATAACCTCCTCAGGTTCTCAGTGAAACACCTATTTTCCTTCTGGAAACATAATTTTTTATTTTATCAAAATACGAAATCCAACACATGACGATTAAATAAATTTAAAAGGAACATAAATATTATGTCTATATATAAAATGATTCTCACTTCTCACTTGTATAAAAAAAAAATCGATGGCTTTATGCGAATCAAGAGTTATATGACCAAAATGTTTATTATCTTTTCCCAAAATAACAAATTAACCCGTTAATAAATAAAGTAAAAATTAAATCTACGAAATTAGAAAGATAGAACATATATTGTGTTGAATTAAAATGTATCAGATATATTATTATATTATTTAGTATATGATCTTTCAATGTGTGTATAGAAAAATGAAAACAAAAACACATGTCAAGTTTTGTCGGATCTATATATGCTCTGATCCTTTTAGTCACGGTCCTGACTTCATCATTAATTCAGAGCTTCCTTAAGAAGCCCGGGCCACGTCGTGCTACTTTCCGTTCTTTAATGCATCGTCTACATTTTCTCGCTGCATTGAGTACTTCACGAATAATAGAGAGGCCACTGCGGAGCGATGCGGCAACCCTTAACGATCTTTATAAAGTTACAATACATAAAACAAAAAAGTGCGAGAGAAGCAAATATCAGTAGGAAAGGAAATTGAAAGAGTCGCTTTGCGGAAGTGCAATTTAAAGATTATGTTTCTCTTATAATATTGTATATCTTTTTAGGTCAACATGGAATATTGTATATTCACAATTGTTTTTCTCTACAATAAATTTATGTTCAATATTTTTTTAGAATTTTTCTCTCCTTTTTCTTTTCCTCTTTCCCTCCTTCTCTCTGTCTCTTTCCATAGACACACAGAGGATGTCAGGATACCAAAAAGATCGGGAAATATCTCGAAAAATATAAATTTGATAAAAAATGTTTTAGAAATAAAAGTTTAAAGTAGGATTTAAAAAGGTCTATTTATTATAGCCTTATTAGTTCAACCCTAGTATTTTTTTAAATTATTATAATGCTAACTCGATTTTATAAAATGGAACTGCCTTAAGTGTGATATGTCGTATGCATGAATTCATCTCGTTTTTAAACATTTGTGTATGTGCATTATACATAAATTCAATCTGTTACTAACTTCATACGTATGTGACATATTAAACATTTGAAGGTAACACTTGAATAAATATTTCGATATGAAATTAATAATCATTGATTGTTGTTTCTAAGATCTGTGAATTTTTGAAGATGGAAGAAAATAAACATCACTTTCGACATATTATGCTTTTTTATTTTTGAAAAGGCAAAACTGCTGCGCAGATTCAAAAACAGATACATCCCGTTTACGGAGAAGATACTGTTGCTATGTCATAATTCATAAATGATTCCAACGATTCGTAATGGGCATTATAATCTCGAAGAGAAACGCTCTGGACGGCCTCCCGAGATTGATAGTCTTGTCCTTGATTGAAACCGATCGCCATAAAAACAACTCATAAGATCGTTGATAATCTT